CATAATTATAAATTTCAATGGCAGTTGAATCCAATTAGCAAATTAAATAACATAATACACAACGATGTCATTTAAAAACGTTCCAATGTTATGTGGTAAACACGTAGACTTCGTTAACAGTGAGTTTACTGACATTTTTAGGTAAGTCGTTTAGAAAGTTGGACTTCTTACGTGTCCTTAATATTATAATAATTGCCCGACTAACACATCCTATATTTAATTTTATAATTAACTTTACACATTTTTAATCGTGCCAAACACCTATCTAGAAATACCATACTGAAGTAGTTGTGAACATAAACTATTATGCCACAATTTACCAGATGCAATAGTTTAATTTCAATCTTGTGTTAATAGTAATGTACCGTGTTTTAGTGCAAGGTTGGGGGAAGAAATCGCAAGTACATGTTTTTTATGTTAGAAGTTTAGTGCAAGGGATAATAACACGTCCATTGCCAAAGTTACCATAGTGACCACTAACACTGAGCATGGAGCTAATTTTTTTTTTAGCTCCTTGCACTGAGATACCACGTTGTCCATGTCATGACCGGGATGCATCATGGGATCGGCCGCTAAGACACCTGTACGTGAGTTGTCCCTTCCTCATATCCTGCTCTATGTAAACCAGAGATTGTTGATCTACGATATATGAAACGATAACTTCCTCAATGTTGATAGGATATTATCTATAATCAACAAGTCAACGTGATACCGATGTGATGCATAGTGACCAAAACACGCTGATGGAACCAGACAACTTAAATACATGTACAGGGGATGGGCATTTGAACATCCTGCTAGTATCTACAGCTTCACGATAACGTGAACAAATTTGCATATCCACAAATGTAGTGGACGAGACCACTTTCAGTAGGGTCCACGTTATTTGAATATTCTTGCGCACACGCCGTTTGTCTCTAATAATTTTCTGACCAAGGAATTAACACCATACACGTACGCCCATACACACACATACATATGTATTATTTATAATACTATGTAGATTCATTCAAAAAAAAATAATAGAAACGACACAGCGAAATTTCACCCGCCTTGCCAACGAAACAATAGAATAGACCGTTGGGTCATGACATACATAAACATGCGTGTTGACGAGACTCCGGAAACGGTGAAAAACTACTTCCTCTATGCGATTCTGTAATTGTTTCCTCGTTGTATCCCTCTTTAAATACATTTAATATTTTCACCCATTGCATGTAGTTTTCGGTGATAGATCCGACTGTATAATAACCATGGCAGTAGAAGACGAACTGTCGAAGAAATTGGCCAGAAGACAGGCTCTTAACGAGGGCGAAGAGGTTGAGGAACTGCCTGTCTCGCACTCCATGGCCGTATTCAATCCATACACCGAATTTAAAGAATTTTCACGAAAACAGATCAAAGAATACGAGAAGATGTTCGCCAAGTGAGTACCTGGTTTTCTATAACCCAAATTGTGATCACTAGTATGATTTGGTTACTAGTATGAATTACAAGATCACTGATTTTAATTGGGCGTGTCGTTGCGGGTGGCCATGAAAACCGTAATCTGACACTTCCATGTGAATCCCTGTCGCAGTAATAGCGGTGTACAGTTCACGTAAAGAATAGTCAAAGGAGATACAAAAAAGTCTTCAAAAATATTTTCTTTTCACAAGAAAAAGGTATGTTTGCATACATACTAAATGAGAGAATTCACATATCACAGTAATCGTAGATTTGGGTCAATCATGGGTCAGTTCAAGTGGCCTGACACCCTGTTGTCTATCCCAAACCGCTACTGTTCAAAACTCAAGCGGGTAACTAATTATCGACGGAAGACGACGTCACATTTTCATGGAGCTAGCTCCATGCATTTTCAACTTTTCCGTAGTATATGGGATTTTCACGCCCTGAGGGAAGGACAATGAAACCTGAGAAATGAAACACCAATGGATTATTTACTTTAATCTTTTGTTAAATAGTTCAGTGAAATATGATGAATATGGCACAAATTTTTGTTTACATAGTTTAGGAATGTTGTTGTCTGAAACGAAACATGGTTTCAGCCAGAATAACATCACTAACTATTCATTGTTTAGTTTTCATGAATTCTGAATTTTCTAAATTGTAAACATTAAATGTAATCACTTAGCTGGACATGCAGAACTGCTATGATGTAAGTTAACTTTGTCATTATATTGTACACAATATGATCACAATAAGACGCATTTGGTTTTTGGGTAATGTGGGCATTGACCTCTGTGACATGCTGTTGGAAGGATGCCATTGAGCAATTGGCAGGCATTGTCAACAATTTTTAAAAATGTAGCCACGAAATGAATATTCATGTTACTGATAATTTCATGCGTCAGTTTCAAATCTGTGAATCTCAGCTGTATTTAGGTGTATTTGTCAGCTGTTCAAAAAAAATTAGGTTGAATTAATAAAATTATTTTAATTAACCAACGAACAATTTTAATCATGCTTCAATTTTGAGGAACATGAAATATTTTTTTTTGACCTTGTATGAACTTACCTGAAAAAAACATAGTAGAACTCGCTTCTTTTTTTTGTCTGTTTTCTACTTGAGTGTAATAATGTAAATTGTACTCGGGGTCATGTTAATTTTTGTTTATCCAAACGTCATAGCAATCGTTGTCATATTTCAAAATAAATATTTTATTTTCTTAAGACAGTTTTACATTAAAATAAAAATAATTATAATTTCTACTAAGTCAAAAATAAATATAGGATTTCATCAGAAATTATAAAAGGAAAATTATATGAGAATTAGTTTTCAATTGCAAATATTATTTATATTTAATACATGACTCAGTTGAGATGACTCACCCAGTCTTGATGTGACTGTGAATAGATGTGAAAACACAAGGACACTGATGAGATTAATTCAATTGATGTAGAATGAGATGGGAGGAGTTGTTGAGAAATGAAATGAATGGCTGTTTATGTAGTGT